TCTACTGGGAAACATAACCTCGCTGCTGATTTCGCCATAGCAGAAATGGAGAGTATCGAAGAAGTACAGGAACGCGTCATAATGTCGCAGGATTCTATCCATGAGTTTCTGCGTGACTGCCACGTGCACTAGCTGGAAAATTGCCATGTATGGCATGAAACAGAGAGTCAAGTCAGGCGCCAGAGAGTCAAGTCGCCCCTCAGATTGCCAAATTCAGCCAGTCCATATGATTTAATACTTCGGAAGGGTGCAGACGGACATTTTTGCTGTGAAGACTTTCTGATGCACGACGACTGAACCGGCAGCGATCGTCAATTGAAGTTTTCCTACTAGGACTAGGTTGTGACTACTGTCATCTAACTGGTATGTCAGTGGAACGTTTAAAACTGTTCCTCCATTGTTTCAGCAACTGTTCACGATCCACGAAATACAGTTGCTGCAATGCCATACCATCGGTACTTGCCTTGCGGCCGGACAAAAAACGAAGCACGTTGTTTGCGAATGCTGGATGCCTTCAAACATCTGGAACCAAGTTAGACATCTCAGTCAGCACTGACTGATTTCGAGCATGTGGTCCATGACTTTTTTCAATGAAGCTTTCCAAATGTCATGCATGGCTTATGGTGTTTCACTTTGGCCAAAGCAATACCGAAGCATCCGAGCGAACGTTCTCCAGCAGAGGTTCGCAACGGAGGCTACCTTCGCTTTAACACGATTCGAGGAGGATTTGAGGTCGTTTCAAAATTGAACGAAAACCTGATCGATGTGCAACTGTCTATAGACCACTGATTGGCCATCTAGGTGGAAGTCAGATACGAAGGCAACCGCAATTCGCTCCAATACTTTTGAATTGCTTTGACACTATCCATGAGGAGCTGCCGAAAACAAACGATGCCGTTGAGGGATGACATCTAGAATTCTCGCAAATTATTCACTCGGACCATTCATCCGTACGGAAGCTCACTGTTGGTCTGCAAGAGTAAGGAAACCAGAATGAAAGTGAGCTCATTGCAGGCCAACCGCAGCCGCCACAACTGATTCAACCTCTTCTGGTAGATGCCTCGAAGAACCCGAGAACACTAACGCCATTATACAACTTGTCGACTATTTAAGAGACGTTGAGCGCAGTTTAGATTATTAATTATGGCAAGCAAATTTGCGCTTACCACAGTGATTATCTTGGCACGCTGTTGATGGATATGTCAAGTTCTTGCGCGGTTCAAAATACCAGTTGTTGGAAATGCATTGAAATTAGGCTAATCGCAATCGTACCAATTTCTTTGCTCTAAATTTCTGACAATCTGTTGAGCAGAAACCGATGTAGAACAGTTGAAAATCAATTTGATCTTCGTACCCTCAAATGAGACAAGTCCGGACGCATGGCGTCTTGGAAGTTCGACACTATGTGACAGTTACCTTTATACATACATGAATATGGTTCCTTATTTATTTTAATTCATGACATTTGCTTTTGTTTTTTATTGTTTGGGTTACGTTGCATACTCTACGCTGTAACTTTATGAACATCGTATTCAACAGTCGAAGGCTTATTACTGACACTTCAAGTAGACACAATGAGGGTCATAACCGTAAGTTGCATGAGATTTTGGTATGACCACACATCAGCACCGTTAGGCAACGGCTTGTTACATCTGTCATAAGAAGGCATGATCCGAAGAACACACAATTTGCATAATTATTCTATCGAATTATAAATTACGACTGAAAATCTTCTGTTGGTATAGACGTCATAGAACAATCGTAGCACAGGCGTCATTCAATACCTTCGCGCCCAGTTGAAATCACGAGGCAATCTACGACATAATTGCTAACTGATCGTTTCAGGAGACTGAAGAAGGACAATTCTGAGTTTCATGGAACTGCTAGACAGTATACATAGCCTTAGGTGGTCAAATGAACGTATTTCGATCTGACTGCTAGTGACTGTCTTTGCAGAAGATGGACTTGTTCCATCACACAAGGAATTCCAGAACCCACTTGATGAAAACATGCGCATATGAATATAGACAAACAGGCTGTTTGATATGTATCAATATGAATGCAATGATAAATGAAATATTTACTCAGATCAGTCTTAAAGTGTAAACTAAACAAAAACATAGTATTCACACTTATGCGTCAAGTCTTGTGCGCACAGCGCCCCTCGCATAGAGAGCAACAAAAGTCATCGTTCCATTGAATTTTGCAGTACTGTCTGGATGCACTATTTTTTATGGCACTGATGCAATTCATTCGATCTGGCTGGGTCCATTTCAGCCAGGTCGGTTTCCTGTGGTCAGCATACGAGTGCCTCTGCAGGTACGCCTGTACATCCGAATACCTGTTGGTAACCTTGGCCGTGAACTCTATGGTGAGGCAGGCGATGCTGGTTGGGGTTCCACGCAAACAGTGAGCTACGTAGTCGGATTTGCAGGCTTCGCTGCAGTCATCCCGAGTGACACAGCTGGCGCATTTGCGACTGAACATGTAGAATTGGTTTTCGTCGGCAGACGGCTGAGAATTTGAGTTCAACCTGAGGAAAACGCGCAGTTTCCACGTCTGAAAAAAACGTGCGATAAACGAGTGAAGTTTGGCAAAAAACTTCTATGCTGTACCCCCATTTTTAAGTTTGTGGTCGACTTGATGGAATTTGCCTTCATCACCGTGTACACGTGTTCCTTCATCACGTCCGCCTCGGGCAACGAGAAGCGCAGACTGACGTTGGGCGTGCCGGCCTTGATGCTCGAGCACAGACCATTCAGCAGCCACTCACGAGAGTCGGTCCTCGTCACGTAACTGTGCAAGCGGTTCATCTGACTGGTCGCTTTCCTGGCGATCGCGCAGATGTCGCAGTACCGACTGAAAAGTACTAAAGTTTTCTGTTGGCATGCGGCTGCGTCTTAGGCGAAACCGTTACCAGAAATGCTTGCCGTTTTCGACCACCACTCCGGAGTTTCGGTCGCACTTTGCCGGGCTGAACATCTTCTTTTCGGGCAGCAGCGATTGGCTCACATCCAGGTTCAATCCGAGAGGCCCCTCGTTGCCGACCGTCGCTTGACCAACGATGCTCAGGTCTGCGTTCAGATTCGACAGCTCGCGTTTGACTTGGACCCGACGCAGCTTCAGTATGTAGGTCCCCGGCGCCTCAACGTAGTGGACCTTCCGGCCGTTGACGTCGGTCAGCATGACGTCGTCCTTGTTGATGGCGATCATGCTCGGAGCTGAAA